ATCGCAGTGCATAAATTTTAACGGTTTGACTCATTAAGTAAAGGGGATGCTTCACAAAAACTCCCAACTCTTATCCAATAAAACAGGCTTTTGGGAAATTGAATTTTGTTTGGACTTGACCTATAGTGGAAGCCAAAGTTACAAACCAAAACGATTTCACGTTGATTTCAGTGCAATGGAAACGTAAATAGCCTGGATTTAGACAAATTTCAAACTGCTCACTTTAATTCCAAAAGAAAGATTGTGGCAAAGAAACGCTAAATAGGTTAGTTAAAGACTGTGATGAAACTAATTAATTGTTAATAGCTCTGTGTAATCTAATCAGACCGAGTCCTCGTACTGCTAAAGTTGTGATAGAATCACATATATATGGTGAAATTATGCCTCAGAATGCCACCGAGCTACTGTGTCGAAATAGCCTCGGATTAGGAATTATGTGATCTATAAACTGTTGGACTTATCACCCAATGACGGGTCCATTCAATCGTTTAAAAGTCTCCAGCTGGATTTCGCATTTTATGACCTTAGTTAATTTCCCTAGAGAAAGCTTTTCGCAATTTTTCAAAGTCGGTTGCTCCATCCACCCTCTCAAGGTATTGGGAACCAAAATAAATGAAACCTCACATTGGTTAGCCGACGCTACAAGCGCGTCGGTCCATTCCATCCACGGACCGCGGATTTATCAGTGGCGACATCTCTCACCCATCAGCCCCTAAACGCCGTCTACGATATAATTCGATGCAATCTGATATGAAGTTGACACGGGAATGCCCCACAATATTTACATTTGCTTGCAAGAGCATGGACCCTTCTTAAATAAAAATGCAACTAAACGGATTGCTTAACTTTAAGTCCAGAAGACGATTTCTGATGAAAAAAAATGAAAACGCTATTTTCACATTTTTCAGACACCTTTATGCCCTCCATTCCTTTTTAGCACATTTGGAGAGCCCTGCTTACCGTTCTCTCTCCATTTTTGTTCATATGTAAGTCAAAATTTTAATTGAATCATTGTCTATATTAATAATTTTGCCTGATAAAAGCATCTCCAGTCCTTTTAACGTTTCCTAAATTGTACTGCATTTTATGTTCACGAATTCCACATCCACAGCGTGGTTAGAAATTGATGGATGTCAAAACTCTGCATCCTTGCAAAGTGATAACGGAAGAAGCAAAACGCAACAATTGAGATCACTACATACATTGTGTTGTGTAGGGAATGTGCGTATCTAATTCGCAGAAAACGTTACGTCACCGAAATATGTAATATCCAAGTGTTCTAAGTGGTTTTGGTAGTTTTAGGTCTGAATGTCTCTAGTACTTGACGAATAACTCGAATAATGTCATATTTGCACGGATAAAACCCTTGCGATGTAAAAAGATCAAGTTTTTCGTATTTGTCAAGATAAGTCAACAGTAACAGATTAAGAGCTTGTTTAGGAATGGAAATTAATCCATTAGCTAAGTGGGTACTGGAATAATGGAAAATAACTACTACATCTGTTAAAGGTTTAAACCAATTTATATCTATTTAGGAAATACTGAAGTTTTAATTTTTGTTTAAATTAGTTGTGGGCCCCAGGATGTGGTTTCGAACCACGCCGGGGCGACGGAATTAACCCTGGCCCGATTACGCTTCCCTGCTACCCGTGATGAAGAAAAAGACCGGAGAGGACGTGGACACAAATGTTTACATCAGAGCTCAACCACGTTGGTGGCGTTGTATCGTGTGTGGCGTTTGCTCCTGTGTATTTATACCTCAAATCGGTGAGTCATAGATGTGCCAATATCGAGACCTAGGTGTGAGGATAGACTAAGATAATTGATCGTGTTAATGAGTGTGAGTTGAGGATCCGCGCGGCTGGCGACATGCAACGAAAAAGGGGACCCTGTGTCGGAGGCTGGAGCGACCGGATTAAGGGGTGTGTGTATTAACACGATTCACAGCAAATTCATCGCCAGTATGAACACCACATTGTCCCATATACGCATGGCAGCCCTTTTAGCACTGCTCAGATTCAGAATCCGCCGAGAGAATTAGCTATTTTTGTGTGACTTGATGAGGAAAACTGCAACTCTATCCCCATTTAAAGGGAGTGAAAAAACGCAATGGGGACAGATTGTACTCTTGGAAAGTCCATGCACGTAAATTGAGACATTTTTTAGCAGGTAGGGTATTGAAGCGTGAGATTTAAAGGAATACATTTAAAAATCTTACCATAGGACCACTTTCATTTCATGTAATTCACAATTTTTTTATAAAAGGTTATAGCCATCCAACTGTAAGGCTCACCACGACTAAATCTTGCAATTTACAGAAAATGCCTAAAGACAGTTAAACAGATTGGAGTTGGCCATCGAATAGCCGTGGTTGTCAAGAGAAAAATTAAAGAACGTTTCCAGATCGCCCTGAATAATTTTATTGAAATGCTTACCTAGATAACGAAGTTGTGTTGTCATGGAGCCAAAGCGCAGTGATTTAAACTTTGTGCCTGTGTGTAAAAGTAAATCTACCTTGTTTGGACTCTCATTACTTGTCGGGTCATTGAATACTTCATTTTCTTCCTTCCAACAGAACTACATCAATTGAGCGACAAAATTTGAAACAATTCCAATTACTAGAGGTTCACATTTAGTTAAATCGCGCATTAAAATTTACCTGCCAACCATTTTAGAAAACCAGCAAAATAATATAACAATAACCGCTATATTTTACCTCATTCCTTTTTACCTTGACATCCGATTGAAATCATTGCTTCTACCACTTCGCACTTTTGTTTTTTACAGTTTGTAAAAAGAGGTTTGGATTTAGTGAACTTAGCTGATTGGGTGAGTTCTTCGTGTTCTTCGTGGATGCTAGGCCACGTTTTACGTAGGCATTAACATTCACCGCAGGCTGATGAGTGCCTCTCACTGCTAAAGGAGACTAATTTTCGGACTTAGCACCTCATCAATGTACTAACTGACCTTGGTGCTCACGAAAACTCAATAGCCGCCTCTCTGTCCCAAGAATCAAATCGGACAATGTCCACACCGTTATAGTGCTGACATTTGCACCCTTTTTCCTTGGATGAGAAATTAACTGCTGCTATTGATGTGTCCTCAAAGCTGCTTTGTGTAAAGTGAAAATATGCTGCATTTTATACAAATAAGAAAACGTGTGCAATTATGGGACTCTATTTTAAGTATTCATGCAGCAACGTCGTAAATGTATAAGCCACTCATGGGAATCCATTCACCGAATGGCAAATCAATTAATTATTTTGAGCTTTTAATTTGAATCACCAATGGCTAACCATTACCACTGTCTACATAGGTGAACACACGGGTAAATCCATTAGATGACTGAAGTGGATGTGTAGAGGAAAGTGTCTTTAGGATAAATCGTCTTGTGTTAGTCGACTCTGCTCCGTCGAAATCGTAAACCGATTTTACTTAATAGAATGATGGCTCGGCGAATGCTATCCCAGACAAAATGGTCAATTACCAAGGTCAAATTAGAATGAATGCAGTGCCACATGTCGATGATAAAAACACTTAAAATTTATTTTCTAAACTGAGCGGAAATGAAGGATTTGTTTCACTTGCTTCAATATCGCATACAATTTTTTTAACTACGACATGTAGCTAGCTCATTCATATTTGGACCAGAGTCTTGAGGGTTGTTGTGTTCCTTCAATAATGTGACAAATTCGATTGGGTATTATGAAATATAATCAAGATACATATCCTCTCGTTAGGTTTATGATTGGTAAAATTGTTGATCCACGCCGTTCCACATAATGATAGAATTGTTCTGTGGAATCATAAATCCCAACCTGTTGTCTTGACTATGCACTGTTACGTGGCCGTGAACATTGAGGTTTTCGAGAACTAAATACTATTGGATTTAGACAACAGTCAAGCATCCATTGTAGAACTATGCTAAGATCAGTTCGGAAAGCAGATTGTTAGGCTTTTTTTTGCATCCCTAAAAACGGGGACTTCCGATTCAACCTTAACATGATTGTTGGTTCTATGGAGTTACTTTAAAGTAAACTTAATGCCGTGGAACACGGAGTAAGATTCATTATTCAGGTGGCCCAGTCAGAAAAATGATGTAAGCAATTAAGCGACTTGAGTATTTGGTACGTTGGAGTGGCTGTTGTCTTACCAATCCATGGTTAAGTGCAGTCTTCATCGATGTAATGCCAAAGAAAATCAATGCAATCCCCGTCACGAACCCATTTTTGGGAATTTTCATTTCCATTCTGCGTCCTCACTAAAAAGCGAAAATGACCATAACTGGTGCATGTTCATTAGTACACTTATGCAAAGAAAGCAAATAGGTCGAAATGGTCAGAGACAGCTGTTTTTTCTGGTATCAAAGGATTTCGTGACGTGTGTTTGTATGGTTTGATTAAATGAGATTCAAGCCTTTTATATTATTCGTTATTCCAATTATTTTGTGGTAAATTATAAGCGACATTTACAATAATGGTTTGTAGATAATAAATAAAACACAATTATTTTTGTTTCCTTGAGTTACTTATTCAATTTATGAGATCTAGGTATTTTAAACCGCACAAGTAAAATTATTATAATAAATAGGATTTTAAGTACTTTATCTATAACAGCAATAAAACAATGTGTGTAATAAAGAGCATAATTTGTCTATTGTAAATTTTATTTATTACCAATAATTCTAGTGTTTAAATGCACTAACATATGGTGGGAGTGACTTACGCGGGAAGTTAATGAGCTGTTATCCGTTCTTCGCCTCGTGTTAATGGTCACGTTGCTGTGCCCGAGTGTTCAACAAAAAAATGGGTAACTGTGCAGCTCACACCTCTGCAGTGGATGAGAATGAAGAAACGAAGTGTTCCTCAGGTGTATCTGTCAGCCATCGTGATCAAAATAATATAGATTTGCAAAATAAATTTGCCAACTACGGGACGAGTTTCCCAGACTTATGCAGGTCACCAATGCATTGTGTCGCTACGGACCCTAATTTTGAACAGATGCCCGATGCAGACACACTGTCTGATATGCCGAGTGTTCGTTCAAATACCCCAAGTTCTGGCATTCGACCGAAAAGCTATGTAAAATACCCAAGCCTTGATGGGTCGCGAATGCATGGATCCCCATCACCTGTCGGTTACAAAACTAGAAGCAGTATCTGCAGTGATCAACATCAATTGCATGATCAGAGACCCAGTTCAGCCTCTCATCTTGCTAGATACGTTATCAATCATAATAATTACTCCCAAAGTGCCAACTCCTCCCTTTGCTATGGTCATAATGGCCACTCAAATGAACCTAAAAATCGCCGTCCTTCCCCTACTATCATTCAGACGCAATATCGCACATCGGCCAATGCTGAGAAGTATGCCCGAAAGGTGCTTTCCAAACCTACACAACAAAAATACCTTGTCCATCATTCCCTTAACAAACCTGGCTCTCCCAACACTGTCACCACTGCCAAATCCGATGGGTCTGTTGCGCATTCTATTTACTTTCCCCGAAAAAACTCCAGCAAATACTTTGTCGCAATTTTTGACTATCAGGCACACTGTGACGAGGACCTTACAGTTCACAAGGGGGACGTAGTCATCATGCTTGATCACAGGTACGTTGTTTGCTTTACGAAGTTGTGCTCACAAGCGCATGCTTACTCTAACCACACCGGTATAATGCATTGCCGTCATTTGAATAATCTGACATCCCAAGTATCTTGTGTGGTTTGTGCCATCCTTTACATACAACTTTCACCTAGCTCTATGCCTGTTTGCGTTTTTTTAAGTTGATATCAATTAGGTTCAGTTTTACCAACCATGGCGATGTAAAAAATGTTAAATCGTAGGACTTCGTATGTTGGGTCATCTTATATAAAGTAAGCACTCAGACATCTTGGTAAAATGATGCAGTCATTAATTTTTATTGTCTAGTAGTTGTACAATGTCTGTCTTTGTGGTCTAAAATTTGAGCATTCAAAAGTCTGCATTAGTGATTCTTCACAGCCAATGAAATATGAAAGTAAGGGACAAAAAAGTCACACTGTTTTGTTATAGTGGGACCTGTAATCTCGCTTGGATTATAGTCAGCCAATTAGCACTTCCAGCGCGGTTTTCAGTCTAAGTCTTTCTCGTGCTGGAGTAACGGTGAGGAGCCTTGCTAGGTTAGCGATTGAAGTAACACAGGTAACTGGTTCATTTGAGGACAAAACTTGCTCTCCCCCTATGTTGTTTAAAACATGCAACTTGAGCCAACTTTCAATGTGTACTGCAAATTGAGCCAACTTTCAATATGTACTAATTAAATGCATTGACTTTTTGTTAAGTAATCTTTATTAAATCAGTTTTCAAACCTTTTTCACTTAAATTGGGTTTGAACCAATCTCGCCTTTACTGGCAATAGGTAACCTGCGGCTTACGTCTTGACGTCAATCAATTTTAATCGTCCGGCATCTTTTCTACTATCAAATGTCAGTTGCTCAAAATGTAGCTTTTTTTCCGTTAACTCTACTTTCCTTCCCCACCCCCTCATTCTCTTATGTTGGCCCGCTATTACCAATGTCCGTGTGATATGCACGCCGCCCATATGTCAGCAGTAGTCGTTGGCACGCGGTCGGACGTTACACGTTCGCTCGAACTCGTACTCTTGATTGGTCTATTCAAGGTAACGTGGTTGGTTGGTCGGTGAAATTGGCGTGTACAGTGCTTGCGCAATTATACTTGGTGGGAAATATTTACGTGCCTGTATTCGATGCACCGAAACCCTCATGGTTCGAGGCTATTGATAACTCGTAGTAAACGTCCTTGGCTCGGGTATTTGTGTAGCAACAGAATGAAATGGATGAATTTGGGGCCTCTGATCTCAAGTGCTTGGGTCCACGATTTGAATTTGAGCCTTCAATAGCTGTCTCTTACTTCGCAGGTTATTTAGCCATGCGATTCTGCGGACACCGTAGCTTGCGATGAAACGCATTCGTGATGGTTTACTCACATTCTCAAGCTGGCTTACTTTGTAAACTGGTAACTCGTTGGAAATTATTACTTCGACCCTAATGGCTCATCAAGCTGGTGACTGGTAGTGTAATCATCCCCCAAGGTGCGAGTACGCGAGTGAATGTCAAACCATTTAAGATGATAATAGTGAGGTTTGATCTTTACAAGACCATACATTTCTTTCGGTTGCCTTTGATAAGGAGGAGACTGACTGGAGCGGAAACGTGGATATATTATCTTTTCATGCAAGCATCTAATATATTAAAAGCTAACGAATTTCGGCGAGGTTCCGGCATTAAAAAAGTGGGGTTTGCTGCAAAATCCATCTATTTTGACGGTTGTTAAAAAGAAAAGTGACTTTTGCTTTTGATGGAAACCGTGCCATGTAGCCTGTGTGCCTACTTCTGAATCTAAAAACACTTTGTGATTGGCAGTTATTGCGGATCTCCTTAGCCACAGGTTATGGAGCAGCTGAGCCTATGTATAGTTGTGCTTCACTTAAGTGTGATCCTACCGAACTTCTCTACGGTCTTGAACTCGAGCGACCTGGATTCTCGTTTTTTGGCCCGAACTGTAAACCAAATCCTTAGTTCAATTTGTAAATATATCTCTTTAACCTTGCCTTTAGTTCAGATATCGAGGGTGTTTTAGAGAGATGTCCTGCAAAAACCTTTATCTTAAATAATCCAAATCACCTGTTTCGAAAATCTATCATGCCTCGTCCACCATATTAATGGGCGAAGTTAAATTTGGCATTTGTTATGCCTTTAGATGGCTATGAAACTCGTGCTAATGGGGTCCCTTTTTGCTAAGATCAAATTGTCGTGGTGTATGCTCTTTAATGGTATTGCTTCTTCCATGTGTTTAGTGATGCCGATTGGTGGCTCGTTGAGAACGCGACGACCAACCTCCATGGTTATGTTCCTTCAGCTTACCTCGCAGAAGAAAACTCAATCCACGTATTTGAGTAAGTTCTTCGCATCTTACCTTCCATTCAGCCCCATCAGAATTGTTTAAGAAGCGGTCTCTCTGTAGACTTGGCTGGCTTCTGTGTGCCCGTGAATAACCCACTTCATCATGCACCTTTCTTTCCTTGTCACTTTGGTTTATTCACCAAACAGTAGTTGCTGTATTTGTGTTTATCTTGGGTTGCACGCCAACACTGCTCCACGTGCCCAGTGCAACTTGGTACGGGCAGTTTGTGCTTGGCAAGACGACTCTGGCTCCACAACATGCGGTGGGCGTGTCCCTAGTGGGATGTTCATTCTTACTTTTCGTACGAGGGGAACTTCCGATGCATTTTCTGCCTATTTCCCACTCATCACACAAAAATGCTCAGCAGTTTTGCCCGATTCAGTTCCTCATGAGGACTGTGACATGCAGTTTGCAGTGCACTCTTGGCCATGGTAGCCGGCCAACGTTTACTCTGCCTGCGTTCCCTGGTAGTCAACTTATTTCCACAGCCTTTACCAGCCTTCGACGGTGGGTCAAATTCTAGGGCACATTTGATGCCCCTTCTTGTGTGAGCCCTTCTTCGTATTGGGTTCTAATGAAAAACCGCCTTTCTTCCGAAGCGAGCGGAGTCCTTTTAAGGACTCCTTTCCCTACCACGCGTTTTTTGTTTAATTTCATGCAAGTAGGGCCATTGCCTCATCATCCGAATTCACTGAAGTCACACCAGTAAATAGGTGTTCCTTGTTAACCTCGTCTAACGTAAACACGAGCTTAACTTGAAGGCAGGTCAAAATCGTGGGTATTTTTTTCAAAAATCAGCATGTATGTTGCAAGGTACGGATTTGAAAAACAGTAGCAGTTTAATCAAACTCAGATCGTAGTGAATGAGAATGTCGAAAGAAAAAAAAATTGCCGAAATGTCTCAGTAGCCCTACTAATACCTCTTTCAGTAACCTAATTTAGGGGTTGGTGTTCTCTCGCAATGAGTTTTTCATGAAAGAATTAGCTTACAGGTGCTTGTGTCAAGAAATTGACTTTGTCACACTGGAGAGGCGAGGAAATAATTGAGTTTGCCTTCAGTGGGCTGTAAGTGGCTCGCTTTGCTGAACTCCGACTTGGCGGGGCCACTATGTCCACCAAGGTGAAACGCGATTCCCGCTGGCCGCATTTACTGCTGTCAAAAATCATGTTGGGAATATTGTGGACTATTTTTTAGATGCAAGAAAACTTTGATTGAGTAGTGTTGGTGTCCTTGAAGACCGGTCCTGTTTGCTTGTAAATAGGTTCTAATGTAATGCTGTTTTGCATTGTGTCATGAAGGAGCTGTGATAAAGAACTCCTCACTGCAATTCTTTTTTTATCAATTTTGCGATCTACTTTTCTAAGAGACGTGTTTTTGGTCAGGAACTTGCACCAGCGTTTCGTGCTTATTTATACTCTCATTGTGATGTTTGTTATTTTCATTGTAATGCGACATTCGAGACAGTCATGGGTAAAATGGAAATACGCAACCACCATTTGTTGGTGAATGTGTGCCGAATTTAAGAGTTTAAGTTATTAACATCAAGTTATCCGTGCTTCGGTTAAGCCATCGTTCAATGCGTGTTTGGTTCCTTCCAAAATTTTCCTCGCACAGGTCATCCAGGGGGCGCTGGTTGGTGCGAGAGCCACTTGGGCTAGTTGCATTTGCACCTACCATAAGAAGTCCAATTTTATCATTGGAACCACAGTGCACATTTCCCCTTTCTGTATTCTGCTTTTATATTTTGTCTTCAAGCGAACATTATTTGGCGCTCGCGTTAGTTAAGGCTCCCTGTTCACTAATCTACATTGTAAGCCCGAATAAAGCCAATTTTCACGAATTTATTATTGCTTACTGCCGATTTGGTGTTTTGTGTTAGAAGAGCGAGTCTATTAGCCCACCCCAAGCGCAGGGCTTGTCGTTAAAGCCTAAATGTGTACATGAAATCACCTGTGACAGATATTCGGCGTCGTTTGCGAAGAGGTCTCCTCCACCTGCCTCCCCTCCCTGCCCCCACCCCGCTGCAGTTAAGTGGAAGCATGAAGGAGTCGGTCGGAGTGACGTGGGGCTACATTTTTCACTTCCCTACATTCGGGACAGCCACTGCGGCAAAATGGCATTTTGTGTCCTCGTATGTGTGTGTGTGTGTGTGCGTGTGTGTACGCGCGCGTGTGTCGTCATTCTGGGCCGTACACATGAACGATAACACCTGTACGTGCGCGCCTGATGAATGGTCGAATTGTGTTCAGTGCATCGTCTTAGCAACCGCTGGCGTAGATCGTACGGACGCAGGCCCAATCGATTGTCGGTCCAACCACGACCAGGCAGAACTGGTATAGTGTAGCCGCACAAAGCGCACAGTGATATTGGTCATTGTTGCAGTCTTGAGCGTGTTGCGTCGGTGTGCCATCTGATTGCGATGGTAATCCACGTCGTTTTTAAGCCACCTACATTGTTATAATCACACTCCGAGGTCTGCGAATCATCTCATCCTTGGTTGGCAAAGATTTGTCAGCGTTTAGCTTTGTCTCTGGCCCTCACATCGGTCCTTGGGGCACCGAATGCCGGTCTCTCCTTAAAGGTAATTGATAATCGACCAATCAGCTCCTCGAAACACCCAATCAAAACACCTAAAAGCCTGGTTTTGCATCATTGTATTGCTTGAGACTTTCAAGTCATACTTGTAGTCAAACCCCTCATGATCTACATCGTTTACCTAGTTGGAACGCTGTTCGTTTATTCGGTTGTCATCTGGAGGATATTTTTAACTTGTTAAGTGTTGGTTTTTGTTACCCGCTGGTAAAGGTACATATTATTCGTGCATCCAAAAGGGTCATCCCCAAATGAACCGTTTCTTCTGTTTGTTCGGGCCGGCAAACGCATTACCATTCAGGGGCTCTTCATTATGTTTCGTCTTGGTTGTGACAGTCGTAGACCAAAGTGCTAGGCGAATTGCATTCCTCTGGCCGGACTAGTATTTGAGCAAAGCGTTTGGTAATCGCCAGGGTTTGGGCTTTCTCGCTCCCAAACAACGTGTTCCACCGACCGAAGCACGCGATGCACTCGTAATCTTAGCTGTCAGCCTTTGCCTTTCTTCCAGCAGATTCCACACACACGGCCAACGCTCCTGTCGTCTGTTCCATCACTGTTGGTCTTGTCTCTCTCTCTCTCTCGGATCTAATTTCAAACTTTCTTTCAAACACCTATTCTATTCTTATTCATCTGTCGTAGAGGATGCTGAATCACTACTAAGCCTAATAATATCCCGACCATCTCGACTTCGTTCAAACGTTTGACGTTTACTCTGGGAAGATACCACATGAAAATCGCTTTTGATAACTGGAAATGTGGATGTTGTTTCCATTCAAATTATTCTATTTTAATCACTTTTTCACCTTTCTGTGTTGTGTTAATTCTTATAAACGGACCGACCTTAATGCTTCTGTGTTGCTTTGAACATAGTAATCATGTTGAAGGTCCCATTATTTCCGAATTGATGGCCATTAGTTGCGTCGAATGTATTTCTACCTAGCCTGGTTTCCTTTCCCAAATCTGCTGTCTTACTCTGCTCGTGATGATTGTGTCTCGCTTAAATTTCGACAAGGCAGCGTGATTCGTTGGGCCAACTGACTCCATAGTCCAGAAATGTATCGAACATCCGTTGGCTGGTCGATCCACCTTCACTGACGTGACAACTTCCTGAAAATTTGGTAGCCGAAAGTCCACTAAACGCTAGATCTTGAAATTAATGTAGAGATTTCCTTCGACATGCCAGTCTCATGTTGTGAAACCAGCATCTAATTCCATCGATCGTCTAATGTTTCATCTCGACATCAATCTCCCTCCCTCAGTGATGGTACGGGCGAAGTATTGCTGTACCAATTAGGATTATGGCGAAACTCGTGCAATGGTGCACTTACATTTGCCTCCGTTATGCTGAACATCGTGCCACAACACGCATTTTTGTGGGTTATACATTGGCCAGCACTACGATATGCGCACCGTCACGAGGCACCTTATGTTGTTTTGTGCTCTTGAAATTTTTTTCATAAACTGGCAAAGCCCCTCACTGTATTCGCCTCCACACTCGTCGCATCGTAGGAAAAAGTCCCACACCAAGTTCTATTTTGTGCAGCTGTTTTTTTTGCAGATGTAAACTCCTTCAAGCCGAACCTCATACTTTTTCCCCTCCCCTCGACCTAACCTCTAATCTTAGTTCACATGATGCCATGCGTCTGAGTTGGGCTTTCAACACTTGGGTCGCTGTTTAAGTGCGCGATGGTCCGCACAATGCTGACGGTGGTGAGGTGGTGTGAGAATACAGTTAAAATACCAACTTTCTTGAAGGGAGTCGGATGTGAGCGTATATTGGCAGAGATGAAAGGCTGTTTTGACCCGCTCGGTATCTCGACTGTCCGAACCTCACCGCCTACTGACTAGGTAACGAATTCCACGTTATTGCCACATGGCTAGACACCTCTGGGAAAACCACATGAGGTAATTGGACCGCAAAACTGGTATCAGGTCTCAGCAAAGACGGAATTAATGCCAACAGTTGATGGTGCGTACTTGACAAAAGTACCATACAGATAAGTGCCCCTAGTTGCAGTGTATGCTCGATCACTGACGTTCATTTGTCTCTTTGTGTCCTGATGTTGTGTGTGGATCAAATAAAATACCTTGGTCTTTGCTGTCGGATAATCAACAGACCCAGGGAATCTTGATTCGCAGATGCACATTACTGGGCTTTTTGGCTCTGTGTCATAACAAATAGACCATGTTTGTTGGGTTTGAGTGGTATTTTGCCAAGGAAACTGACACTAGCAAGATCTACCAGCAATCACGAACTCACAGTAGTTCTCCTCACATGTTGCAAAGATGTATCTAAATACACTTTTTTCCTACAAGGAATTTTTTGTTGTTGAAGTTTGATTTACACTTCCAGAAGAAAGTCACTACGAGTTTATTGCTCCCCAAGCCAATCGCGTGCCGCGCTAATCTGAGTTTATTGCCCTGCGCTTTGCAGGTGGTTCTTCCGTGAGATGTCCCGAAAGGACTCCGAGCGGCTTCTCCTGCTTCACGGCAACCCTCTCGGCACATTCCTCGTCCGAGCCAGCGAGACAACCCAAGGTAATCATCATCCTCATCATTAAATGTTGCTCGTTTCTTGTGCGCGATTGCACTAACTGCTCACATCATCATCATCATCATTCGAGTAGCACGGTACGTAATGTCTTATGGTGCTGCTACTCTAACAAACTACTCGGAGTTGCTGAACATTCAGCTTATATTGTTTCAATGTTTCACACGGTATGCACACTATCTTTGATTTTAACAATCAGCCACCAATTGAGCGCACTTTTTGCTCATATTTTGTCACGTTTTGGGCACGTCTTCCTTGTTTCGTGGTTCTTGAGGATCTCAATGCAAAACCCCTTCTACGTGGCTGTTTATTTGGTATCTTTTCATGCAAATTGATTAATTCTTGTGGATATTTTGTGTCGATTTGACCCTTTAGCTTAAACCAAGGTGCACATAACCCTGCAGCCTGTAAAATAAGCTGTGAGTTTATTTCACCGAAATCGAAGTAGATTAAGTTTGATTTCAATTGAATATTGTGTTATCATTTGAACTGTCAACTTTCTTGTGCATCAAAACTTATGTCAATGCCACATAATCAGAATGCTAGTACTTGAACTTAACGAATTCTCGTCCTTCCTGTTGCCCTGTCGTTACGCCCTAAAATAATGTGTGGATGCAGTCGCCTTGACCTCTCCAAACTCCCTCGTACATTGTTCCTGTGGGCCTCTTCCACGCCTTCTTTACGTTCAAGCGCATGCGAGATTCTCTAGCGTAAACAAATCTTAAGGATGTCGTTTTCCTTGTACACAAATAAGGTGATTGACGCGTAACCTTTTACGGTCGAGGCGTGCCGTGGTGGCATTTGGCTTGACCTCTCCCCCATCTTTTTCCCCTCCCTGCCGATATCGTGACCTTCGCAATCCCCATCGGGCGTTTTCTTTTCTCGTCTGTCCGCGGATCATTTTGTTGCAGGGAAAGCGAAGCAATGGTTACTTCCGTGATTAAAAAGACGTGCCCTGTCGAGACCACACCTCACAACGTTGCTCTGTGCCAAGTGGCCGGGTATTTATTACGTTGCATTGCTTCATCTTCTGGTTGCTACTTACTCGCATATTGGGTGTTTGTGCGTATACGAAGGGGCACTTTGAAAAGTAACATACTTTTATGAACGGAAAATTTGGCATTCCCTTGTAACAGGTTATCTGGCAAGCTGGTTTGATGATGATCGATGGTTCTGTTTATACAGTAGACGAACACCATGGCGATTACTTTTTTTGGACACTTTCGAATTCCTGTGATTGGTTCCAACGTTACGTCTCATCAACGTGCTTTTGGCTTGCTGCTAACAGAACCTTAGCCCCCTATTCGGAATCTCGCTCTTCCACTTCACCGTCATGTTTTTACGTGGTTTAATTTTCACTGACACTGGTGATGTTTTGGCGAGAGAACTTAATTTATATTTAAAGACGAGCGCCCACTCTTGGTATTTGCGGCAACTGATAACCGCTTTGTACGTACTCGCAATTTGGATGAAGCCTTCGTTTCGAAATAAGTTTGCTAAATTGTTGAAGTCGAAAGGATTCTCGTAGGTGAATGCATCCTTCCAGTCCTTCTGTAAATCCAAATTTGGCAGGATTAGTTCTCCTTTTGATCAAATGTACACTCACATTCTGGTGAGAAAAAGTGCGATGCACAAAAGGCTCATGGGCTGTGGCGTCGAAGCAACTGTTCAGGAGTTCAAAAACCTGCAAAGAGAGCGAGTGAGTGAAAGAAATAATATTTTCCCGGCACCGCTTGTTAATATTTATACATTCGCTGCCTTGAGAGCACAGGTTCAGCCCCCGTGTCCTTTTTTTCTGCACGTCGAGAGGCCCAACTTCGGCGACCCCCGGGCGCACAACAGTTGTTCCTGTCCGGTGACTCATTTCGTCGGATAGGGAGGCAGTCGAGTTTAATTAAAACGATCAAGTGTGCGTTTTGGCCCGTGCCTGTGTATGTAAATCATTTTGGTACGGTTTTTTCTCCACGAGAGTGTCCTTTGCCAAGAGAGCGGGTAATATGATCGCTTGATTGGTGTATATACAACATGGTACGAAATTAACGAAGATAAATATGCACTCGCTTGCTTACATTGGGAATTGGAGAGGTAGCTATTTTCTTGGATGACCTGAATTCACAGGGAATCGTGTGTAGGTAGGACAAATCGTTGCTAAGGATTTAATCTTGAATTACCTCAAAATCAACCCTTAGTTTAAGTGTTATAACCGGTATCTGATTTGGGTGATCATTTAGTATGGCGAGCCGCCCATTTTAGGTAGTACGATAGTTTCTCTTAACGGCGCGGGGTTCGTCGGTATTAAGACACCAGTTTTGTACAGCCTGCCCATGTGCACTGACCCATGCGACGTGTGACCTCAGACACTAAACACTGACGCTTGCGCCAGACATCTCCGCTTATGATGCTCGCTGTTGCCTCCCTTGTGGTCAAACAAATACCCCATTTCACGTAGCCAGCCCCACTCTGGCAGTCAACGCACCCTCACGTGAGTCTTAGAGCCGTCAGTTACAGCATGGTAAGAAATTAAACAATGCAGAACATAAGCACTCTCATTCATGCAGTGAACGGGAGAGGCACTAATCGGTTGGGCTGTGTAATGGCTGTCACAACGGCCCTGAACTAGTCGGCATTGTAATATAAAAAAACTTTTCCGATTTTTCCTAGTGCATTGACCCCTCATGACACTTATTTCGTCCAGAAATCGAAATGCATAGCCAGTACGCAACCTGCCACTGTTCTGAGACGACTGATTGGCTGCGCGCATCTGGAGTGAAGCTTATGCAACCACCACCTTGGAACCTGGATCTCCTTCGAAATGTTAAAGAACAACTTCCTGGAGTCGATTCATTTGGCGTTTCATCACACCTCTGTTTGGTAGAATTGACCATTCCATTCAGAACCCTATTAGCTTCTGAGAGCGCGGGAAAGGAAATTTCCTGCATTGCCAACTGGCTCTGGCGGGTAGCAGATAACAAAGGGGACGTGTCCAATCACTGGAGATTTTTATTTACTTGGATTAAACCACTTGCTTAATCACCTCACTAAACATGAAAGCAAGTAGCCGAGCCTGGTTGTACAAGTAAGTCAACAAGAAAACCTTATTTTCCTTGAGGTGTCTGAAATGTTCCCATCAGATTGCTGGAGAGTGGTTCGGGTTGTGGAGATTAGAGAGCCCAGTGCACTGGGTATTAAGTTTCCCATTCTGTCAGTGAATTTCGGACTAATCTGCACGTTTGAGAGGTGCCATCTGTGCTGTGGATGGTGGGTCACCGTCGGCTAGGCATCATCACTTATAAGCACTCTTCACAAAGGCCTCCTTTGGTATGAGATTTTGTCCCTTTTAAAAATCTTCATATATTGTGTGTGGGTCCTGGTTTGCCTGCTGTCCGTCGGTTCGTCTTTTATTTTTGTTCGCAAAACATGCACTCCAGGACTCTTTTCTTGATAATTGGTGACTGCTTTTATGATTAACACCCGATAGAAACGAGAGTTCTTTTCTAGCAACTACAAAATCATGATTGGTGATATAGTTATTGAAATCTTTTAGATCTGATGCATGGAATCTGGCCTTCCTGTCACAGACCCACGACAATAGAATTGGTGCAGTTGAAAGTTATTTCAATTTGAAAGACTAATTACCCCTTTATTGCGTATAAAAAAGAACTCTTAAATCTGCGTCTTGATATAGTTTCGTGGTATTAAACCCTACCCAACCCCAACGTCCTATCCGAATTGGGTGTGGAATTAAAACTTTCTGAGGGAGTCTGTTGGCCGCGAAGTTGAAACCTAACAGATGGTGACTTCACCATAATTTCCCATGTATAAATAGTACATGTGCCCCCTCTGTGTCCGAGAGAATCCAGCAAAGGCCGCCCCGTTGTTAAATGTCTGTTCACGCACTAAAGAATCGTTCTTCCCACGCTCCTTCCTCCGTTCCGCGCCCTCTTCTTTTGATCTTGGCAACCTCAACGTGGAGCGCTTCTTCCTCCGCGTGTTCAGTGCCTAAAAAAGAATAACGAGCGCGTTTGCAGGCTGTGCGTCCCAAATTACAGGCCGACTTGAGCCACACATACACCTGTTCCATGTACGTGTGGCTCGTGTGCGCTGTCTTGCGGTCCCCATAACCGGACAGGCTGAATACGTTCCCACAGGCGAGCATTTGGCCGCTGGCCAGCACGACCGCTGTGGTAGGTTCCGGTCCACATGCACGCCGTGCCGCGGCAGGAAATAAAAGTGTGATGATTTACGGTGCCAGTGTGGACCACGTAGCGCTGCATCCGCCCGCCATTTTGATAACGCATCGGTGGTGGGTGCCCCCCCAACCGCCTGCCTGAACCCTCGCCCTGAATCCAAGTGCCACGAAACTTTCTTGGGGCTGAGGATTTTTAAGTCGAACAATTATCGTTAATCTCCATGTTGAAAATGGGTCTTCTACTGAGGGGCCTGTCACGCGTGACATGAACATCGATGCAAGGATTGAAAGAGACAGGTAACTGACAAAATGTGGACTATTAACGATGCCCAAAACTAGGTACTTCTACTCAGCAAAACCGAATGGATTCTATTCGTGAGCTCGTTATTGTATTCCAGCGTGATAGCAGCACTAGAGCACCCCCTTGCATGGAGGTTCAACAAAGGTGGTGCCACTTTCGGCAGGATTGTTTGGCTGCATCAATCAGAGAATGAATTTTGCTTATTGGCTCTTGGGAATTGCCCTTGCCAGTTTGAATTTACGCCATTTTAACTGATGGCATACCAGCCAGATCGATCTTTGCTAGCAGATTTTTTTTTCATTTTCTAAATTCAAACCATGCATGCGTAATTGACTGAATTACTGATTTTTCTAAAATGAGTTGCAACTTAATACATAACGTCGATACAAAATATTCGTCTCAAAGTTAAGTTTTCTGAACGCATTCTAATTGTTGAAGGGGCATTGGCTATATTGAATAGCGGAGGACCGACTACGTGCCTCAGGTATGTTATGGGCTGTAGACAAAAATCCTGCCGAAGACCACCTTGCCAGTCCACTGGCATGACGTGCGCCAGTCTTGGAGGCCATTAATTGTAGACGATTGGACACCCATTGCGAACACGTGTGTTGCCAAACGATGTTACTGACCTCTTGAAGCCAGCCATTTAGCGGTGACGCCGATATTTGGTGTTACCCTCACGTGCGCTGGGCTGGAAAAGTGTGCATATATGGCTGAGTTTGCTTTCATTACCCAGGTGCCATAAATCGCGTTTAGGTTTTCTGTGGGTCCCCCTAAAGACCCTCGAACTTCACCTAGTTTGCTTTGTGTTTTGAACGTTGGCGCTCTCGCACCAAAGCGTGTCTGAAGCGAGCGGCTTCCTCCTCACCTCTGAGCTGGGTGCGGCTAACTGAACTGTCAAACGTGCGCGCACGTGTGCGGGTAGGAGAACGCGGACCCGGGGCGTGGGTTGTCCTGTCGCGCCCTCGTGTCGTTGAGGTGGCGTGCATGCCAGCGGCGCGCTCTTTGTCTCGCGTGATTGTAAACATGGCGGGAATTGTAGGTGTTTAGAAGTGCTGTTCCACACTGGTTGGTTGGCGAGCCGCAGACCAACGAACCGAGCATTTGGGTCTCCAAAACACTTCTTTGTAGTGAGGCGCAAGCACAACACTCACTGACATACAGTCGTTCTCTTTTGAGTGGCTTACTTTGCTTATTGTTACACCTTTGCTAATTGGTTGGGCCGCACTATCAACTGTGTCGCTATTTGTTCAATGTAAACAATTTAACTCGCATGCAAAAAAGAGCTTGTAAATTTACCTGGTCAAGTTACTGTTTAGACTCCTTTGTCTGTTGTGGCTCCGGTTGATTTGCATTACGACCACGCACATGTAGATACTAACTTCCTTCACAGAGTACCGGTCGCTAGGATGAAACGCTACTTCAGGCCGAAGTCCGGTCTGCAACGGACGTGTACCTGGCATATCCAGTACCTATAAGCCGTCGACTTTGTTTATCTGCTTCACAGAGCCTCATTTACGGTGTCCCGTCCCGATTGGATTTGATCTGCCCAACCTCCCTATAAATGTTAACGTCAAAACCCACTTAGTGCTTTTTTCTAGACGAATATTGAAAATCCAAATGACAAATTGGTATTTTGCTGCCACTTAAAGGGTTTTAGAGCAATGAAGTCGTTTGCTCGAGGGTTCGTAATCATTCTAGCCTCCTTCAAAAAAAATCTACCTCCCACAAAGTTCTTCCGCCAATCAAAAAAGGAGAACTTGTTTCCACTGCTTCAGCGCACATTTAATTAATCATTCCCATTTTCTTGCTTGATGAGCCACAAAAAACTTCGGTACACCCTCGGTCACCTTCCGCCATTACCCCGACAGGAAAAAAGCCTCTAGGGTCTGTTGTGAATTTGGCACGAGCAAAGATGACCTTTCTGTGCGCGCTCGCGCGAGCAGTCGCCGTGTTGCCGCCGCGACCACCACTTAATCCCGTCAGGGGGTTATCCTATGCCCTCGGTTCCACCCCACGCCCCCACCTCCTGCGTGCGTACGTGCGTGCGTTAGAGTGGATCATTTGGCACTGACGGCCACTTGTATGCGCCCCGTTTTTCAATTAACGCACCGACAAGCAAATCCATCACTCGTTCATATGCGGTGAATAGGGTTTTCGCTCATCTTTACGAGCCCACCCTCGTGCGGATTAGTTTTTTTTTTAACTCAGAGTCATTTTACCTCATGTGGGAACAACGCATTTTCAATGTAACTCGTTTTTCAAACCTGTGCTCGAAACGGGTTCTGAGTGTGGTGCCGGCTCATCTCTCTGATGACACCAAACAAAGCTCGTTAACCTGCATCCCTGTCTGACTACGTCCGGGTTTAAGAGGGGAACAATCCTTGTCCAACATCTGTCCCAACCGTCCATACTGCAGTCTATTCCAAGCATGGAACCGCTGCTTTAGCAACACCCGCCTCATTTCCTCCCTTTCGCAGAAACTTTTCATTCCATCAGAAACATTATGATGAGTCATTTCGAGGTTCGAAACGGTCGTATCCAACGTGCACTGCCTGTTTCTGTAACATTTTTTTTCAATAAGACCCTCCAGTGCCTCCTTTGTCTGGTTTTGTGCACTCTTCAAAACCAGCCAATGGAGTGAAATGCGCACTAACCCCTACTTCCGCGGCATGGAGTTGTCAAATTGCCTACACACACACACACACACATGCGCCCGTCATTAGTGGCCTCATTCATTGACACATGTGGAAGCACCGCCCTACGCTCCTCCCCCCCCTGTCAGCTCCACTCCGCCGCCATCGCCATGATTTCGGTGTGTTAATCACCGCCTTGTAAATGTGTTCCCGTCTTTACCTCGAGCCGCACCCTCTCTTACAAAGCAAGCGCTGGTCGGGCGTTTGAACTTAACCCCAATTTTCGAATCGCGAAATCGGACCTTCAAGTCAGTCGTTCAGCATCCCTGCTGCACAGGTTGGCATGTGGCGTTTGCCAAATGCGGAACTGTGATTTCCAACCGCACAAACGAGTCCACCGAAGTTCACCCTCAATAATTAAAGGCAACTAAAATAGGTGCAATCAAGGTGGCAGTATGTCTTTCTGCTCTCCCATATCCTAAATTTTGCTTCTCCTTTTACTTTTTTTAACTGAACTTCATTTCCGGCTCTTTGTGCTGCCACAACACCTGCCCCCGAAAGTGGGTTTGTGGGTCTTGCAAAGCGCCAAATCAGTCAACAGTTTCACTTCTATTTTTCGCCCTCCAGGTGCGCTTTCACTATCAGTCCGTGATTACGAGCAGGCCCGTGGCGACATCGTGAAGCACTACAAGATCAAGTATCATCCCGAGAACGGTTCCGTGTGCATCACCACCAAGAAGGTCTTCCCCAACCTCGTCGACTTAATCAATCACTACTCTTCCCATGCCGATGGCTTGTGTTGTCGGCTCACCAAACCCTGTCCCCGTCCCCCTCCTGTCCTCTCCGACCTCTCGCGCCGGACGAAGGACGACTGGGAGATCTCAAGGTCATCGCTTGTCCTCCAGGAACGCCTTGGTGCCGGACAATTCGGCGAAGTGTGGCGTGGTCAGTTGTTGCTTCTCCTCAAACGCCCCTGAGATCAATAGCAAATGGTTTATTTTGGGTCATTTGAAGCACGCTTGTCGATGGAATGCCTGTTTTCTTGATTGGTTAACCTCCACTGCTTGAGTTTTGTATTTATGATCATAAAGTGGTGCTCTACGTGTGCGCAGTGGTAGAACGCCTGCTTTTTATCAGGAATCTTCGAAGCAGTCTTTCATATCTAGATTCGCTTTCCCATTAAATACGTGGGCAACGATCATCCGACCGTGTAAGCCTCCTCCTCCTCCTCGATAAATCGCTCAAGCCACATTTGTGGGTAATGAGACCATGGAAATTTCGCGTTTGTCAGCAATTTCATCAAGGTTTTGGTTTTTGTTATTTAATTTCTAACGTGTGAGGCCCTCGTCAGGCGAACTGGTAAAAGCCGAAGATCTTGATTTGCGAAATTGCTAATTGGCTTTGTTGCTAAATTTAGGGATGTTTTATTTAAGAATAAATCTGATTTCGTAAAAAATTACCTCGATACGTGGTTCCGTTTTTGTTACCCCCCACAGCGTTAAACAACTTTTGCATAATCTCTCTCTTCGTTTTCCAGGCGAGTGGAACGGCACAACTCCCGTGGCCATTAAAACGCTGAAGCAGGGGACCATGACCAAGGAGGAGTTCCTGAAGGAGGCTCGAATCATGAAGACCCTGAGCCACGCTCACTTGGTGCGTCTGTTTGCCGTGGTAACCACGGAGCCGATCTACATCGTCACGGAGTTGATGTCTAACGGCAGTCTGCTGCACTACCTGCGCTCGGAGAAGGGCAAGGCCTTGGCGCTCAAGCACCTCGTCGACTTCATGGCTCAGGTTAGTTTGGTGCTTGATGTCTAGCTAGTTCATTTGCCTTCAGTGCTAAACTAATCTCACCTGAGGCCTCACCGAGACGTGTCATTATTTTAGGTCTTCTAAGCACATAGTGAAACCGTGACTTTCGAGTTTATATAGCAAGACGCGAATTCATAACTTGGTGTACCGCTAGATGTGTCCTTGGCTGGAAAGGTTAAGGTTGATGACAAATACTGCAGCATTCGTCGTAGGTGTTTGTAGAAGCATCCAATGTCGCTGCTTAACATCCGGTTGCGGTTGTGTTTTGACTCTGCTCGAGTAATCGCAGTTGTTGTCTTTCAGATTGCAAGCGGCATGGCGTACTTGGAGGACAAGGGTCTCGTTCACCGGGACCTCGCTGCACGGAACATCCTTGTGGGCGACAACAACATCGTGAAGGTGGCCGACTTCGGTCTGACTCGCGCAATCGACATCACCACAGAAGCCTACACCGCCAAGCAGGTAATCTGTTACAGTCCACTTACCCGGGTGCAAATTCATGGTTGGCTTTTTTCCACGTGACTGTCATCCTTTTTCGTTTTTACTTTTCTTCCAAGGTGGTAGATTAGTTCACTTAAAAAAATCCTAATCCCTAACTAGACTGGATGGCCAAATAAGCCTTCTGTATAAAAGGTCGTAAATTCGACTCTTAGTGGGATTCGCTTGTAGCAAACTGCTTTCTCACTTTAAAGGCTCCCAGCTACTACGTCAAATCGCAAATCAGGTATTCTGGGCGCGACGCCACTGAACAGCTTGGTCAGAACCACATGCGAGATCGCTTTGCTGACTTTTTACGTTGGTCGTAGCTTCCGTTAGACCTGCTGATCCTGGTGGTGCGAAACTTATAATAGATTCGTCAAATGGGATAACAACTTATTCAAATAGGTGATTGGCCAAATATTGACTCAGGGCCAGGCCAACTCCTTATTGGATGCTCTTAGTCGGCCGAGGACCCTAGACATGCAAATGAGTGTTCCGATTGCCATTTCTGGGTTAATAGCTCAAGGCCATCTCTAAAGAACGGTACCCCAAATTGGCGTCGGTATGAGGCCACTGTGTCCACCTAACTGTCAAAGGTCAGTTGGTACATAGCATGGCTATCCTAAGTAAATCGGGGATAGTTGTAGCATATCAGGACAGTGTGTGTGTGCGTCAGTGTGTAGGACTTCGAAGTTTCATGATGGAGGGCCTCACAATGCGCAATTCGCCAACACGGTCGTCGACACCGCGGAATGCACAGTTCTGCATAGATTGGTCAGGTGAATACGGACGAAACGTGACATCGTTGGCTGATTGGACAAATCTATTGTAAGCAAAATGACATCAAGATCAGTGGAACAAGCACCAATCTATGGCAGTTTGAAAAGACCATAACATCGGATTGCTTGATTTTCAACCCCATTTTCACAATTGATTTCCCTTGACGAGAGTCGTTTGCCATCCATGTTCTGCCCTACACAGGAGTTCTACCAACTCCCGTGGGGGTCGTTGTGAGCAGACGACGTTGACTTGCCGGTTCAGTGGTCATCAGTTTGTTCAAATGCAGTGTGTCGGTACTCCGGGCATGGAGGTCAGCCCAGCCCTCGCCACAATGAGTTGTCAGGTGACGGTGCGAGTTCGCCTGTTGGTTGCACGACTAAATCTTTTCGAAACGAGGACGTTGTTTTCGAGTGTAGGATTTTGTTGTAAAGGTGGTTTTAGATACAGGCGAATCACTATTTAGGTTGTCGCAGCGCACTGTTGGAAGACAATCAGTCCTATGCACAACTTGGCCCTACTGCAACTAACTACCTATCTAAAACATCTCAACGTGATTCAGTATTTTACGTTTCGTAGTTTTGCACGATGCACCTGGTAAAGTGGATGTAGTAGTCACCTCGTGCCTTTTGAAGTTCCGTTTATGCGCAAACGGCCTACGTCTCCCGGTGAATGCGCGAATATAAACAGTCGTGGAGTCACTGCACATTTTCATGAATCCCACGGCCGTGAAATGTCGTGTTTACCAAATCTGCTGCACTTCATGAAGCACTGACTTTGTTTTGTCAACCTTACGAACGGCCGCTTTCGCGTCCCTTCCATGTACGAAGTTCAGGCGTGCAGTTGCCATGCTTGCAGTCACTCTGGCCGCAGGGGAATAACTAGAAAAAAAGTCGCAATGCGTGGCCAGCAGTGTTGCACCGACATCTGCGGGGGGGCGGTGGCGTGTTGTAGTGGCAGATTCCTTTAGTGTCTCGTTTCTGATGCACACACACACGCTGTTCGTGCGGCGGTGTGTACTTTCCATGGTGGTGACTCCACGGTGGTTCATCCAAGTTGACTTGAGATATATTTATGATAGGCATAGATTCACTCCGGTCGGCGTGAGTTTCGAAACTGTTCATCTTTTCAGTCCCTTATTCTGGACCAACATCTCATTAGAGCGTTGTACCGACGTGACAGGTAGGTCCTCCACCTTAATAGTATCACAGTAAGCTTCGTCCGGTTTAGAAGCCTCTGAACTCCCGACTCCTGATAAGTTAGCTACTTGCACTTCAACGGAGCCGGTCGTAGGCGAACTACGAAACGTGCACTTTTGAGATATCGATTAAACTGACGTACCTTACGCAGATCAACCACCTCGTTCAAGCACCTTGTCAGTAGCCAAGTTGTCTCGGGTATATCACATTATCGTGTGTTTCGAGTTACATTATGCTATCGTTTCGCCTGCAGGGTGCCAAGTTTCCAATCAAGTGGACCGCCCCAGAGGCTGCATGCCGGGGTCAATTTACAATCAAATCGGATGTCTGGTCATTTGGCGTGGTGATCTATGAGATCGTAACCTATGGCCAACAGCCCTTCCCGTCGATGAACAACACGGAGACCCTGGACCAGGTGAACAACGGCTACCGGATGCCCTGTCCCCAGGGCTGCCCGTCCTCGATCTACGAGGTGATGCTGCAGACGTGGGATGTCACGCCTGAGCTGCGTCCCACCTTCACCTACCTGTGCGAATTCTTCGAGGACTACGTGGCAGACGCCCAGGTGGCCGAGGACGGTGTCCTGGGTGGTAACCCCAACCCTCAATACGACCCCGGACTAATGAAGCGTCGCCCCGGCTACCCCTACATGGACTCGCCAGCTCGGTTCTCTCCTATTTAAATGCCTCCCATCCCATCCCTTCCCTAACCCTCGACGCTACCCTAGGTCTTTCAATTTTCCGCTATGCGATGATCAATCAACGACTAACTGTGGCTCGCACGAGTTTCACGCGATTGCGTGCGAGGAAAAAAGGTGACTGGTAATAAATTTGATTATAACTGATTATATCTGTAAGTGGCTTTCTTCTTACATTCATCCGACGCTTTGTTAACATTCTAAGCTTGCTCCGGACTCTTGAGAATCACGGTAATTTCGCGAACGGGCTGAGCCTGTGCGCATCGCTTTGGGTGCTGCTGAACGTCAACCGCAACCAAGAACACTTTTTATTGCTGACCACTGTCCATCACTGTTCACTAGTCTAACGGAAACAGTTTTCCTTATTTTAAAGATAAGGTCGTGCACATCTTTGTGCCGTAACTCTACGTGATGTAGTTATTCCCTGGTGTAAATTATATGCGTACTCAACATTGAACCACGGGTTTCATCAAATTCAATATACTTTTCGAATGACTCCATTCGATTCCAGACTATAAAGCAACTGCAGAAATTCCATGTTAATTTTTACTAGTGTGCTCCAATTCTGTTTTAGAAAGCAACCAACTTTTAAGACAACTCGAATGTAACCGCTGGATCTATTCCCATATCGGTGCTAATCTGTTCCATGGTACGACATTCCTTAGATGCAGACGAACAGCGGTTATGTCATCAAAGGAGGAATGCGATCGTTTCGAGTAAATGGGCACTGGAGTGCGCAAGTTGCATCTAAAATTATCTTTGTGCGTAAATCCGATTTCATGTTCACTACATAAATTAGGTATCAGGACGCAGGCAAAAGGTGGTCTACGTCTGGGTGTGCAGAAAACCTCCGTGCCCCTTCGTAATAAATGTGCACATTCTTATGGGGGGTGTAGTTCAAAATCGAAATTGCCTCATAGAGGTGACCAGTGTAGCACGGTTTCGGGAATTGGAACTCACATGGACCGATTTTGCGTATCCCACCTCATCCTACGAGGCTTCCGTCCCAAACTGACAAACTTTTATGTGGTGTAAACAGACACCACCGGACTGAAGCTACTGCGACTTGAAGTCGGCCTCAGGCAGAACCCTCTACCAAAAAAGACTTCAGCTGCACGAGTTCCAACCTGAAAAACTGGACAATGACCATTCTTCCCCCACACTCCAGGGCCAATGAGCCACTGTGGTGCCACCACCCACTCTTCCCACGAATTCACCACTTTCGCCTTTGTCGATTTTGCGACTAATGTTACCACCGCGTCGGTCACTCCCCCCCCTTCCAGCTTCCTTTGGGGAGAAAGGTGAGGGGTCCAGGCGTGTAATGGACCAATGATCACGGTGACGTCAAACTGCGTGGCGGTGATGGTGGAGGTGGGGACGGCAACTTTTTCCACTGACACGACAGATGGTCATATGCGTGCAGATCGTCAATTTGAGGAGGGGATTGGCGGAGTGGTGGCGGCGGCGTTCAAGGCGCTTGTTGAACCCACATCGATTTTGTTCCTCAGGTCTACGGTGGCAGTGAATTAGGTCGGGTTCATGGGTGAATGTGTGTGCTTTTTTAGTTTCAGAATAGGCCCATTTATAAGTAAGAAGGTGGATCTCTTCTGTCTAAAAAAATTTTTACCAAGTTTGTCTGACAAAAGACAAAGGTTAAGTTACGAAAGTTACACGTGATTTTGGCGCTTGTCGCTATCAAAGACACGTAGCTAACATTGCGGACCGAGTGTTTGCCCCTTTTTTGAGAGTGTTCCAACTAACCACTTCGTCATCCAAGGACTTATTTCGAGTCCCAGCAGACTGCGGCTTCCAGGTGAATTATTGTTGAGGGTTCTAGCACTCTTCACGACCCCCATATTCTTCATAAACAATTCCCTATTTACTCTCTGACAATCTCACGCTAATTTTCGCATCACATGATATTTTACCGGACGTTCGATTATCTGACTTCAATTTACACGTCAGGCCGGGTGTACGATAACATATATGCAAGGTGAAGAATTGTGCACATTTTGAAGAGTCGTTGCAAGATTCTGCAATAAAATTTTGTTGCGTTGACGAGTGACTTGTGATGGTCGGAGGTAATGTGTGGTGGATCGTGTTCAACTTTCCTGCGCTCCACGGCTTCTCATCACGATGGGATTCCAAAACAGAAAAGAAAGTCCCCTCGAGACATGCCCAGACGCATTTTATTATCATCATTGGCTATTTCAGATGCAACACGCATTCAAAAGCCAAGCTGTGGGACGCGTGCACTTGGGCACCAAACATGACGTCATGCGCACACACACACACACACACACAATCTCGAGGGCCATGACCGCCAAATTTAAGTAACCAATACCATATTGCGAATTCTAGGCGCGCGCGTTATCATCACTTTCTGTGTGCGTGGGTGTGTGTAGGTGAATTCAATGCACCAACCCGTGTACACTGTCTGGCGGCCATGAAAGTTGGCCTCATGCCAAATATTGGCGTTTTGTGGAATGCATTATCCTTTGAACGCCAACAACTTTAACACGGGAACAGCATATGGTCACTCTACGTGAGACCCAAGTAGCGTTTATTTCGTTTTTGATTGCTTAATTTAATTAACACTGGTGTGGTGGGAATGTCCAGAGTTCTCTAATGCACCTTATTGACAAAAACCTAACTCAACCGTGTATGATTATAGTGGGCACACACCTTGTCCGGAAAAAAGTAGCATCTCATACTGGCAAATCAGTTACCGTCAGACATGATGGGTTGATCTTTAAAATGACCAACGCCGTTACCCCCTACGCTCAACTCCTTGATGCTGTGTTATCGTAAGGCTAAACTCGATGTGAGGGAACCGCATGAAACTCGACCAGAGATAATACCGTCGTTACATTGCATTCTTGTGAGTCACTACAAATTGGGTCAGAGATCCATTTCACGCAATGTGTTGTCCGAAATGAACGGAATCTTCGACAATGGACTACTCTGTTGCAACATCAGCCTCGATGCATTTTGGACATTTTCGTGACACGACATCCGCTGGGAACGGTTTACCCGTGTTATTAAAATCAAGCCTTTGAAAGTGAATGAACGCAGTTTAAGTTCCAGGCAGTGTCTGTAACCTACTGTTAAGGCAGTGAACCTCATGCTGACTATCTGTGACACCTTCAGCTTGATTGTGCACACCGCCATTGCATGAGCTTGTAAAAGTAACTAATTTACTGCCAGCTGTGGCCTGTTTGCTTCACTCACAGTGGATATAGGTTGATAATTGTAGCATCTCGCTTTGAAGCAATTAACTTTTCTTTGGACATCGCTTTTACCCATCTCACCTCCCTTCCCTTCCCAGCCAAGCTTATCAAACAAACAATCTCCAATAACGGGTTCTGCCGCCAATAGTTTTAATAACTGTTTCTTTGGCCAAGCATCCAAGTCAGAGTGGGCATGTTGACAGCCACAACTGAAAGGGAAAAGCTCCTTTTTCTCTTTGCCCAGTGCCAGAACAATGGCGGAAAGTTTTCCCACCCAGTGTAGAAGGAGTTTGACAAGAATAATGGACTTGGCACGGTGAATTATGGTGAATTTATGGCTGCAATAAAAGCCTTGTACGCAGAATACTATCATTAGACAAGGCGGAATTAAACAGGCGATGGAAACAAGTTTCAACAGACGCTGCTGAAATTTTGGTGAACAAAAAATTTACGGAGGAAATTCATGCTGTTACAATGACGACACAGCTGCACCATTTGAAAAAAATATCACACTTAATAGAGATTTGTTTTGCTCTCCTAAGGACTACCACAGATTAAATGCCTGGCTTGATGATTTTGGGAAAGTGAAGATTTTGAGCTCTCTAAAGGTGAACAACGGCTATCGGCTTTCTAATGAATTCCAATCCCTTGATTACAGTGTGGTTACAGCGGCTTAACGTTGTTAATGAACACATTGGCATTTGCCATGACAACTAACTTTAAATCGAGGAGTCCGTAGTACACAAGTGGCCGGGAATTGGGTCACGAACGAGGGCATTGTTTAGACGGGGAAACACACCCAGGTCCCACTGAACTGACACGTTTCTGCCCCGTTAAAAGACACAAGAGACCGGAATACATTCGTCAGGGCCACTAAGGGACAGGAGGCCAATACAGCGTCGCAACACACTCGCGCCCCTCTTTTTAAAATGATTGATAAGCCAGCCTGGCTAGATTATGGAAACGCCCATTACTATTTGTGCAGAACGAGTGATTCACACAGCCCCCTTGAGACAAATAATAATTATTCTGCAGACCGGGTGCATTCATCTCTTTTGTGTTAACCTAGTGTCGACTGCTGCCCCAGTGATAATGAATTAGAAAATCAAATAATCGATTTTTAAACTGACACAACAAGGCTTCTGGAATAGGTTCCGCAGTAAATGGGAGAACTTCAGTGAAACCACGAGCGGTCCAATAAACACTCATTCAATGTGAAAAGCGAATCGAACTTTGGGGCATTTCAACAGCAGCCACGTTGTAACGGCAAGGGATTCCATCTTTCGATTTTACCTTCAGCACACATGCCCAGAATGCAGGCAGTAATCCAAGCCTTGGGCTTTCTCAAATCAGGAAAGATTTTAGGTAGTGTGTCGGTGCGAACCACGATGATTAAGAGCCTAATAGGTAAAGTAGATCTATTGATCGCGATTTGCTTGTGATTTATGTTGGACACGACATGGCACAAAAGTTCTACTTTGTTGCCCTGAAGTACACCTGGAGCCTCCAAGAATTTTTTCCCCTTTTAATGTCACCTTGTTGAGGGAAGAAGATTTAGACTTTTTCAAAGTGTAAAAGGATTCTGTTATTACGGCAATTTTACCAATAAAAGACACGCCTGGTCAATTTTACCTCGCAGAGCTGACGAATGTCAGCACGTTCGCCGCAAAGGAGAAGGAAGAATGCTGGGGTCGAGTACTTGTATGTTTAAGGTGAATGTGTTAAGCTTTTTTCCCTTGAACGAAGCAAAAGCTGTTATGGTTCATTTTTCTACAACGGGCAGACATATTGGATGTAAAGATTCTGGGTAAAAGGCTAATTTAAGCACCACTGCCTTTTTGGGAGTGAAACTGCCTCAATAGCGGAGGTTCTTAAAGGCCAGTCCCCTTGGCTACCGCAAGTTGCCTCATTCTACCTTAATCGCGAATAACTTAGTGGTTCTTTCCACAATGCTGTGCAATAAACATCTATCAAGGAACTCACTTTATAATCAAAAAATAATTTCGCTGCCGACAATTTTACTTGTCAAGAAAACCTTTAAGCACTGCAACAGATTATAAACCTTCTTTCAAATTAGCAATAAGTTCTGGCCAAAGATTCCTTTTGGCTGATTTTGCCGAAGTAGGAATGACGCCTGTGCACCGTTACAAATGACAAGATTCAAGACTTGTAGTGAACTTTCATCGAACCACCTCAAGTGAAGGTATTCACGGGTTGATCGAATGTCATCGTTTGTCGATTACAGTTGACGTTTTATATTCACTTACGCGTTGTGCTATAAAAGGACTTGGGTGATCAAATGGAAGTAAAGCGTGGTGGTCGCCGTTATCTGTCTTGCCTTTCTTCTCGGGCTGTTACGGACTGTCGACTAGCAAGGGTTGTAAGGCAGCGTTAACTAAGCTGCTATGGACTAACTTTGTTGTTTCACAACAATCTCTCCCCAGCAGAGGAGGATTTCGGATACCTATTGAGGAGGCCATTCAGAAGAGGATATTGAAGTGGCATGACGGCATAAGTTTGTCATAATCAACAAAATGCCCAAAATTATTGTTTCTTGGAGGAAGGGTTTAGATGCATACATTTTTTAGCAGATGACTTCGGCCAGAGAGCCGCTCCAAGCTATTAACATCGTCAGCAACGTAGAACAAAAATAGGGGTTGGCAGCGCAGGCAGACTAACACATCAACCATTGATGCGTACTTTCACGTTCACTTGTTAAGGGTCTTAATCTCTTCTTCGCGCTGCTTTCATTTTTCATCAAACCTCAAATATTGGCTGAGATATTTTTCAGCAGGTCTGAATGCACAGATTCTGGGAGAATTAATCATAAACCCTGACTTACTATTGGTGGCAATGGGACTTATTTTTGTTTTCAAGAGCCACTGTGAATATTCAAAGTCGCCAGTCATGTAATTAATAGTGACCATTTCTCTCTTGAGTTCTCCTGCCGGTGGCATACCACCTGTTGCATTTGTAAAAGAACGCAAGTCAAAAACTCGACGACTCTTCCTAACCAATAACGGCCATCCGGGAATACAGGGATTACCACCATTATGCATATCATTTGCGCCATTGTGCGGTACACGCATTCTTCCAAGGGGGTCATGTTGGTCTAGAGAAAATCAAGAAAGATCTGTCAAAATTCGGTGAAAGGAAAGGAGATGAATGCAGAAGGTGGCAAAATAGTAGGCCTTAGCGCACCTAGGTACAAAAACGGAGTCAAACACGTTCCCACTACAGACTTTGTTTATCCACACTACACCATCGTGGTTGTAGAGGAGTGCTTTACCACATGAAATC